TCTTTCAGCTTATATAGTCATGATTTTCCATCGTTTTTTCGTTCCAGCTGTCTCGTTATCAAGTCGTCTATTACGGCTTAATATTTGTTATAGAAGTCGTCTAAATCGACTAATTTCATGAAGTCGTCTGAAGCGGCATAGTCGTCAGAAACGACTTTCCACTGAAAGTCGTCTCATTCGGTTACCCATATGAATCCCTTTAGACGTCGTCGTTTGAAGCGGCAAAAGTCGTCTGAAGTGGCTTAACGTATGTCGAAAAGTCGTCGGAAGCGGCTTAACACTTACATATAATTATATAGTTATAATCTTATATAATTTTTGAAGCTCTGCACAGAACAATATTTTAGTAAAAAGTATCAGACTATATAATTTCTATAGATTTTTATATGAATTCGCTTTTGAATTCGAGTTAACATTATCTCTGATCATCATTTATTAAATTGAAAAAAATACATAATATATTACGTTCTCTTTTATTATTTTAAAACATTTATGAGAAAAAAAGGTATCATAAATTTTATTGTGATTGATTCAAGTTCTTTTGATTTTGTATATCAGATACATGTCCAAATGGTTTAAACAGAGACAGGCACCAAATATGAATGTATGTCCAAACTGTGTCTAATTGTAGTATCATTGTTTTATTTTCCACCAAATTTTATCGATCACGAGTATTAATTCCAATCATATATAAAAAATATCACTTGTTTGGAAAATATGTATAAAACTTTGAATATTGTTATTTTTTTACAAATATCAAACATATAGCTGGTGCTTATTTCCGAACTTTTTTTTATATTCGAAATAAATTTTTTGTACATCAGTTTTATCATAATTATCAGTATTACTAATAAAAATCTTGTTATATGTGCTAATTCAAACTGCTTACATATGAAAATAGTTATATACAGTAGCGGACAGTAATTTTGGATGGGTTAATTTTTCGCTCCGTTATATCTTCTTAAGGGATTAGGTCCAGTTGTAAGGCTAAAAAAAACGCTTTTTTTGCACATTTTTTGTGAAGACGGGTTTTATTATTCATGAACAAATCTTTTTGTACATTAAAGATACACATTTAAAGAAGTTACAGAAAAATTTTTATGTCAAAATGTCCATAATATTAGGAGATATAGTCAATTTGTCGAGACTCCAAAAAAAATACGTTTTGCGGTGATCACGATTGCAGCAGTCTGGATCATCTGAAATCAAAAAAAACGGACGAGGATATTTAGTAAATCAGTTAATGCTCCGGATGGACGAAGGGTTTAGTCATATTTTGATTTTTCGCAACATGGCGGACTTTCAAGGTCAATTTTTTTTTTCCCTAAATTTTCATCACTTTTTCGGCTGTAACAAAAAAACTTTCATCGTACGAAAAAATCCTTCGTCCATCCGGAGGACAATTATACGTAAAATAAGTCGTTAAAATTTCAAGAGGATCGATATAACCGTTTTCGAGTTTCATTGATCACCGACTTGGAGAACGTGGTTTCGAGAAAAACGCGTTTAAAGTTTTGAGTATAGTTTACATGCAGATAAAAATTTTTTTTACATACCTATACAGTATCATCTATTCCAGGACCATACAATGTATTTCTCCCTTTTGCTTATCAGCTGCCCCAGCAGCGATTTTCTTCCGTCGCAGAGCAACTCTGGCCTCTCGAGTGTTTTCCAACGAACGTCGGTTCGACACTTTTAAGTTCGACGTTTTTAAGCACTCGAGGTAGGTGTGTTCTAAGTTGTATATCTCGGTGAATAATGGTCCGATTGGTCTAATAATTTCAGGGAATACTTTCAAAATATACTTTTAGAAAATGTAATAAAAAGAAAATCGATTTTTTGAAAATCATGACTGGACCTAACGCCTTAAATATTTGTCAGAACAAAATTTTTAAAAAATTATTGGAGAGTTCTCGTTAATAGCTCTTTTTTCAAATAAATAAATATTTATCTAAATTGTTTTTAAAACTACTAGACACTAAAACAATTAAAATAATTTTTCCGTTTCTTCATTTTCCTTCAATTACTTGCAGTTTTTTTAATAATAAAATTAGAAAACATCGGAAAAAAGATTTGAAATGAGCTTAAAAAATACAATATGTAAGTATTGTAATTTTTAATTTATTATATTTTTTTATTTAAATCCAATTTAATGTAGGACGAGCAAGATTAACAAATACAAAAAAAGCAGAAAGTAAAACAAAACCTTTTCGAATTATGAAATGTCTTCGAAAATAGCTGGAACTCTATCAACCTATCTATGCTTGAAAAATTAGTATTAAAAATGCTAAGAATTTGTAAAACTATGGATTTGTTTATTAATTTGTTAAAATCATAGCAGAATTTTTTGATCAATCAAAAGTATGTTTGTTGAACAATACATTCAAGGGGTATTCAAAAAGTAAGGTGACTTTTCAATTTTCGCGGGCTACGTACATTCAAGTTTTGAATTTTTGTTGTTGTTGTGTTGGTGCACTCGCCATGAGCATATATTCACAGTTTTAATTATATAACACGTATTATTTTTCTGACAGAGGAGTCAGAGGTTAAAAGTGTTTGATGTGCTCGGCGATTTTCTTCTATCGAAAAGAATGAAGCAAAGAGTTTGCATTAAATTTTGTGTGAAAAATAGAATCCAGTGCTTTAAAGCTCTTGAAATGTTGACAATTGCATACGGTGAGTCTACTCTGAGTAACAAAAATGTATATAAGTGGTATAAGCTGTTCCAAGAAGGCCGAGAGAATATCGAAGACGACGCTCGCCCTGGGCGTCCTAGCATATCAATTACAGATGATAACGTTGAAGCAGTGAAATAAATTGTGTTATAAAATCGTCGAATCACCATCAGAGAAGTTGCAGAAGATGTTGGCATATCGGTTGGCTCATGCCATAATATTCTTTAAGATGTTTTCGGCATGAGACGCGTGTCAGCGAAATTCGTTCCAAAAAATTGTTTAATTTTGATCAAAAGAACCGTCGCATGACTATCGCTCAGGAGATATTAAATGAAGTCAATAATGATCCTGATTTTCTCAAAAGGATTATAACTAGTGATGAATCGTGGGTATATGGATATGATGGCGATACTAAAGTCCAATCGTCCCAATGAACACCCAAAAAATCACGCCAAGTTCGATCAAATGTCAAAATTTGACTCCCGGTGACTTTTTTGCTAAAACTTAAGAAACTCGTGAAAGGACATCGATTTTCAATAATTGAGAAGATAAAAACTGATTGGAAAAAGCACTAGCACAAGTGTATTATATCTAACGGGGATTACTTTAAAAGAGACGACATAAATATTGACCAATAAATAAATATTTTTTGAGAAAACCATAAAGTCACCTTACTTTTTGAATACCTCTGGTATATTATTTATTATTCTGTTTATAGAATTTGGTTTTAGACTTTTGTTGAATTTTCAAAAATTTTAGGGTTTTTTTTTCTATTGTATATTTAGCTGTACAAAGCTGTAACGAGACATACGGCTCGTCACCAATTATTTAGGGCGGGGAAGAAAGGCAATAGTGCTCTGAGTAATAGAGAGAGGATTAGAAGGTAAAAGAAAGGAAAATTAAAGCTGTAAAGAACAACTTAATCTACTGTATAACGAAGCTTGACAATCAGTCAACTAGTTGCCTGACGAGATATCGCCGAGGCAATGATGCGGATACCGACACAAAGGATCGTCGCAATAGTTGTTGGATAAACGCCTAACTATTGCGGCACCTGTAATGGGTGAGGGCAATCGCCACGTTTGAGAGAGATAGAGAGAGAGAGATAATCTAGAAGAGTACTTGACCTTTATCTGCCGTGGCTCCTCGATGAGCTAGAAATGGTGGGCCACCTTTCTCACAGGCGTATCGTCGTTTTCCATTGAGCAGCTTCCTCCTCGGCTTCTTGCTCCTCGTGGTCAGCTCTTCTCTGGCGACCTCTGCCAAACTCCCCATCGCACTCGCTTGGCCGATGGCGTCCTTAGTTGACTAACTCACTGCTCCTACTTAACTCTTGAGTCCTTCTTCCTGATTCGACTGCCATCTCTTGCTGACTCGACTGCCGCCTCTACCTGACTGTAGCTCAACTCTTCTCTCTTAATGCTCGTCGAATCCTCTCTTGACCTAATATCGCGCGGTACGTTACGCCGCTAATCGGTCGCGCGCCGGCCGCGAACCATTGCACAATACCGGCACTTGTCCCTCATCTCTCTCTCTCTCGCTCTCTCTCTCTCCCTTTTCGCTCTCTCTCCTTTACTCTTGTTGTTGCCCTCGCCGACCTCACTCTCGGCTCGCTGATCATTATTGGCCGCTAAAAGAAAACAAACCGCATTACGCACTTTAGAATGCGCTCAACGTCGATTGCTAGGCCAGCCGAGAGCTGAGGAAGGGAAGGAAGCGGCGCATGACAACACGTCGTCGCCTGCTCCCATCACAACGTCTACTCAAAATTAAAATATATCTATATTATATAAAACATATTTATAACGTTAATCTAATTGTTATCATAATTTTAATCGAATTAAATATATTTTTAGGAAAAGTTTTTTTTTATTTTATATTCCATAATAAAAAATTAAACGATTGATTAAAACAGTGAAACTTGTAACAATAAAGTGACGTTAAAACTTCTTGAAAAATATTTACAACGGTATTTTTAAGCCTTTTTCAAATTTACTTTCTGATTTTCTTAATTTCATTAATAAAAAAACTACAAGTGGTTGAACAACAATGAAAAAAAGGAAAAAATTATTTTAAATTGTTTAAAAGCCTAATAGTTTTAAAAATAACTTAAAAAGATGTTTACTCAAAAAAGCCTTTGATCAGTACTTTCTAATGGTTTTTCCAAAAAAATTTTCCGATAAATATTTCAGAAAATATGCGAGTTGCAAGTAGAAGCGAGAAATGGGTCATCTATCTAAAAATTAATAGCCAGTACTGTAGTTTAAGTATATTTACAAGTTTCTAATGTAATAATATTATAGCAGTGGTATTAATCTTTTACAGATGAAAATACGAGAAAAAAATTTATATTCTATTGTGGTGCTGACTATCAACAGCAAGAAACTGGCGGTCTTAAAGACTATATTGATCCAGAATACATACCCGATTTTGTTGGTGGATTATCAGAGGTACATTTTTTAACTAAAACTCTTTAGATTATTAGTTATATAAATAATAAAATGACATTATTCAAAAAACAATAGATACATTAGGATGATAAAGTTGAAGTTATGATAAAATATAATGTAAATGTGACGGGGGCAAGTAGTTTGCTTGCCTTTTGATTACTGTCCCTCAATTTCCCCTGTTCTCGGTAAGACATAGTAGCTAGCGTTGAGTGCACAGAGAAAATACGCCCAACTACTGGCCTTTGTTTTAGCCAGCGATGATCGCCGAACGAGGCAGAGTAAGCCCGATGGAGAGCGCTTCGAAGAAGTAAAAAGCGAAATGAAATAGCGAAAAAAACAGAGTAAGAGAGAGCGAGATAGAGGTTACCGCCTATTATGGAGGTATAGGTGGGCGTCCAACGCACGATCGATAAGAGTTGCATCGCATGCCACCAAAAAAGAAGTAAGTCAAAAGGGAATGAAAAAGAGAGAGAGCATGCCGATGATCTCAAGTAGGCCGCGGCCAGCAGTTTTTACACTGTTCTCTCATGGACTCTTTGACGTGAGAAGATAGAGCAAGTAGTAGTATTCAGTGATTCGGCGCAATAAGGTTTACCAGCCTATGTAGAGAAACCCTTCGTTGGGAGGAACACCACGAGAAAACGCGGACGGCACATCAGTTGACCCTGCAGAGACGCCCAGTCATCACGAGAACAATGGTATCCCTTCGTGTTTCTGCTTTACAGTGAGATTTGTATCATCCGGCAAACCAGAGACACAAAGGTCAGGTTATCTTTCTCTCTCCCTTCGTTATTCTTTTTCTCTCAAGGGTTTCATTGGCTAGGCTAAGTACGACAATACTTGGTAGCCAGGCGTTTACTCACCGGCTACCGAGTTTCTTTATAAGAGCCGCGGTTCTTTTAAAACGCGGATTGTCAGAGCGATCCTCGACTTGTTCGTCATCTGTAGTAATAATAAGATCCGCGAGTTCTTGATATTATTCGTTAGTGGTTAGCCATGCGAGTTAATGTGTTACTAATTGTTTATATTAGTAGTAAATCTTGCGAGTTAGTTTGTTTGTGAGGTTTATGTTAATAATAAGTTTGCGGTAAATTTCGAAAGTTTATGCGCGAAATCATTCATTGATCTATCCTTCTTCCTCATCGTCCTTTTGATCGTTGAGAGCGAAAGCGCCTCTCTTATACCCCTTTTTAAAGAATTGATGGCAAAACGTGTAGGTGACACGACAACTTTGTTACTTAGCATCCCTTGTGGGAACCAACGATTGAAGGAGGAGAATTGCGAATTATTAATGCAAATATGTTAATTTCTATTGTATTCTAAGAGCAAAAATTGTGCGCGTAACGAACGTTTAAAAAGTAATTACGAATTTCAATTCTCGGTATTTCGGGTTTTGTTTGTTATGGGCTACCGGTAATCTTTTCTAAATGAAGGAGTCGGATGACCGCGCATGTGTCATTGAGTCATGTTGAAGTCAGATGTGGACCCGTTATCGTTCAAAGTTCGTTTCCGGTTTCACGTTATTTTGGGCACGGAATTTTTTTTTCGTGGTTCGTTTTCTTTCTCTTGGCACTTATTTGAGACAGTATTTAGTACATTTATAATATTTGCTCCAAACGGTTTCTTTCTTTGAGCTCAATCAAGGCGGCCTTGTTGCCGTCTTAGAGCCTTGGAAAGATCCTATTTACGAAAACAACCGGGAAATTAGTTCGTAGTGGACACGCCTTTTGTTTCAACTTGCTCATTACGGTTCCTACAAAACATTTTTTTTTAAATGCGATAATGTCCTCATCGTGTCTGAGTTCGAATAATCATGCGCAAATTATTACGCGATACGTAGGCAAAAAAGTTGAAACGCAAAATCGACTCCACAGAACCGGCCATTCTCTGAAATTGATGCGCTATCGCGGACTTAGTTTATGCGGTGATTTAGATGAGTTGCGAGACCGATACTTGTGATTTACTCCATTGAAAGAGCGGTCAGACTTGCAGCCACCTTTGCTTAGGACGATTTCGTGTCAGGCAGAATTCCAAATTTGTTGCGCAATGAACAGCAAGAAGCACCCGTGAGTAGAGCACGAAGCGCAATCCTTGTCGACGAATTCGGCAAACGGTTCTGCTCTCACTGCAGTGCTCGAGGAGTTAATTCTTTTCAGATAGAAAACCCCCGAAAATATTGTTAGTGATAATGCGAAGGCATACAAAAGCAAAGTGTTTGAAGATAAGTTGCAAGAATATAGTATTGAACGCTTGTTTTGCCCGACGTATCACCAACAAAGCGATCCGGTAGAGCGTGTTATTTGAACTTTAAAGATGATAATAGCGATTTTTAGATGCTGGTCATAAGAGCTGGGATAATCATTTGCATGAATTTCATGCCTTAAACACCGCGAATCAGGCGTCTACAAAGGTTTAACCAGCGTTTTTGAATTTCGATAAAGATCCGCGATCAATAAAGAGTTTGAGGTATGAAATTATGGTGAAAGGGCCAATAGTTAAATTAGATATGAAAGCGTGGAAAAATAGGTTGCTGCGTTTAAATGCGTTATGTGACTTGGTAGCTGGACACATCGATGAAGCGCAGGTAAAGCAAAAGTAATACTACGACTAAGGTAGTCGACAGGTACTCTTCCAGGTAGGCGATTTGGTTTGGCGCAAAGTGCACACGCTTTGAAACGCGGCGGCAGGTAAGAACGCGAAACTTTATATTTCGCGATTTTAGATCTACATTATCTCTATATTAATCCGCAATATGACGAACCGTTTAAGATCGTCGTGGTAATTTCGCTAGAGATATACGAGTTAGCAACGAACAGTAAACATCGTATGATTAGGGTGCATGTATTCGAAATTGAGCGATAAGTATCGCCGCGTAAGGTAAATAAGTAGATTCGTAAAACAGAACAGGTGTAATAATTAAGTTGTTTTGTTTTAAAGATTCAAGGAGTACATTGACGTCGGGTGATGATGGTTGACGAAACTGGAGATTCAAGCCACATTCATCAGGTCGCCGTAGTTCGGGGGCCTTCAAGTGTCCCGTCGGCGCCGACACATTCGACGGAACCTCTGGAGATTATGGAGCTAGACCAGGCGTTAAAGTCTACCGCCTCGTTTTAAGATAAAAAGCAGGTGGTCTCATATATTATTAAGATTATCTCCTGTACCTCGCGTTGGCTTGGGTGTCGGTTGGTAGAGGCGAGGACGGAGAAGCGAAGGAGCTACCTTTGTCGCCGCCTTTGCCTTCGCCTCCGACACCATTTGTAAGTAATTGGCGCGAGATCCGTTTGTTCACCGGAGATAGGAGGACAGGGTCGATAATCCGTTTAACTGCACCGATGCGTACTTGGGACAAAGCAGTGCATCGGAGAGCAGCTTTTCGGCTCACGAAGATTTGCATTCGCGAAATGGTGGAGAAGTCGAGGGTTATCGCCGCGAAGAAAGGGATTGTCTTCCTGCTGGCGTAAGCCAGTAGCCAAGGCGAGAAAACACCTAGTTCTCCAATCGCCGCGGCTGGATATCTCACGGCTAATAGGAACCGTAACGCGAGGGCTATGATTGAGAGAGGAGGCTGGAGTCTCTCGATGCGAAATACCACCATCGGTATTTTGAAGGTGGTGTTGAGCTTGAGTGACACCGAAGAAGAGGTAGTGTTGGCTCGAGAGCTGCCTCGCGTAGCTTCACAGCTACACGCTTCTCTCCCTTTCAAGCCTCCCGCGCTGCAGAGGCCCCGTCTATCAAGTTGTCCGCAAGGGTGGGCCCCGCGCTACTTTCCGGCAAGTTATGTGGAGGTGAAGAGACAGGATGCCGAGGCCCGCTAGAACGCGGGAATCCTAGCATATGAAAATTGGCTTTGAAAAAGTGTCGATATTTTTAATAATTTTATCGGCATTAGGTGCCTCACATTGTCAACAGTGTATCATCGACCTTCAGATCACTGTGCCATCAGGAGGTCTGTTTAATCATCATCCTCAATAAGGGCCGCCTCAAAATAATTTCAAAATAAATTTTGCCATGTTTTGACCCATTAACGCTCATAGAACAATTTTTCGAGCTGAGTTTGAATTATTATCACGTAATGAATTTGAACAGAAAAAATTGAGCAACCACTATCTTCTATGTTTTCGAGGATATTCTTTCTAATGATGTTGGTAAAAAATTTCGGGGAAAAAGTTTTAACATTGAAAATCAAAAATAAATAAAAGAGAATAATTTTATAATTCAAGTTTTTTTTTCAAATATTTTTCGATCCCTTAACATTTTTTTATATACCTAAAACCTCTACATATGAGCCTTAATGTCTAAAATAAATATTAGTAAGTTTGTTCATGTTTAAGATTTACTCATCGTGAATTTTTTTACTTAAAAACTATTTTTTAAAACAAATTTTCTAAATATAAAAATGTCTTAGAATTGGTCAAAGAGAATTTTAGAATTATTTCAGAATTTTCTTATACAATTTTGGAATTTTGGAATTCGTGACTTCGAAAATTTTTAAATTTACTCAGATTATTCTAAAATAATTTTGTCCCAAGGAAATTTCTAGATTTAGAAAAAAATATATAGATTTCAAGGAAAAATTCGTAAAATTTCCAAAAACATTTTTACATCGGCCGCCATTTTGTTTTACACATCAAAACAACAATATAAGGAGGTTTCAGGCAAATAAAAAAATGTTAAGGAAATGAAAAGTGTAGTTGAAAAAAAAATCAATCGTTAAATTAAGCATTTTTCATTTACTTTGATCTTTCCGTAACATTCGACGTTTAGCGTTCGAGATGAGTGTTTAGTTAAGTGTTACAAATCAAAAAGTGAATGAATTAAAATATATTAAAAGTGAATGTGATTAAAAACAAATAAGTAAAGTGTTAAAAAAATACTAACAATCAGTAGATAGCAACAATAATTGACTCGAATCTAACGACTAACACGGCCGAAATAGCCATCCAGGAAGTGCATACTTCCTCCAATCTAATACAAAATTATACAAACTCAAACAAGTG